CAGTGAAGGCTTTCACTTGGTTGTCAACATCCCCTTGGAGAAGAGCATTCCAATCGGTGGTGGCGAGCTCAGAGCAAAGGGCTGGCCAATTACCTCTTTCTCTCTCTTTCTCTTTTTTTTTTTTTTTACACAGGGTTTGACAAGGTTAAGGATTCCTAGCTTTATTGACAAACTATTTACAGGTTAAGGATTCATAACTTTATTGACAAGCTAAGAGCTGTTACCTACAACAGCAAATTTGAAAGCATTTTTATTGTTATGAAACGTATAAGTAGGGAACAGGATGAAGTTGGAGCCATCTGTGGGCCAGCATTTTCATTTGATCAACTGACTTTATCTCATTGACATCATTATGCTGTACGAATGTGTTCCATACTCGAGTCATCCTGGGTATATATGATCTCAGATGGAGTGAAGTTCTGGAGAAGGGTACAGCCAGAGTGAAGTTGCTGCTTTCTGCCCGTCTTGTGGCATAAAAGCTTGTTTCACGCTGTCCTCGAAGTGGATCCAAGTGTGGTACTTTGACAATATTGGCCTTGTACATAACAGTAAGGCCACCCACATCCCTCCTATGTTGAAGGCTCTGCTGAAATGACAGATCTATCCAGGATGGGTCCAGGCGAGAGATGAGACGTCTTGCTCTGTTCTCTACTCTGTCAAGCAGTCGCAGAAGCGAGGGGGGGCAGGCAAACCAAGAAAGTGGAGCATACTCAAGGTGCGAGCGTACTTGTGCCTCGTACAGAATGTTGCAACCCCTACTGTCAAGCAGATGCGAGATACGGCGAAGTGCTGTAAACTTCCTGGCTGCCTTGTTTGCAAGATTTACAACATGGTTCTTCATGGTTAGTTTGGAGTCAAATTTCACCCCAAGGATATCAACTTCTTCTCCAGGTGCCAACACCCTCCCATTCATCTCTATCTCTATCTCTCTCTCTCTCTCTCTCTCTCTCTCTCTATCTCTCTATATCTCTCTCTCTCTCTCTCTCTATCTCTCTCTCTCTCTTATCTCTCTCTCTCTCTATACATCTCTCGTCTTCTGTTACATGCCTTCTCTTTTCTTACTTTGAAGTTCTTCTTACTTCTACAGCCTTAAAGTCTCGTTACAGCTTTCTAATTTGGGCTCTAGATTATCATCTACTATCGTAAGTGTGCATAAATCTAATATAGAAATGCAGCATGGGAAGTGACATATAAAAAAATCTGCAGCATGTATGCTTAATGATAAAAAAGCTGTGACCGTGTTTTTAGATTAAAACAGCGACTTTGCGGTGTATTTTCACATGGTTTTTACGGTTGTATTCACGGTTTCTTGGTTTCATTTGAGAGAATGGAAGATATATTACAGATATATTACTGAAAATAGCTTGAAATTGAGCTCAAAGTAGCGGAAATGTTTGATTTTTGCTGAAATTCGAGAGTAAACAAATCAGGTTATGCGTCCAGTTCACATCAGCTGGTGGTTCTAATGTGCGTTCATGAATGCACTGATACTATTTATACAATTATTACAATATTGCATAAGAGAAATCTTCTATTTTTTGGTGTGACTAAAAATTCTTTGTGAATAAAACTCAAAGTGGAATTCATCTGTAAAGCCTGGAAATGTAACTAATAAACAGAGGAAGTTTTATTTTAGTACCAGGAATGCCTGCATTGTTTATTCTGCACCCTATTTTGGAACTGGAATATTTTGAACTGTGTGAAATTGGCCAAATTACCAAATTCTGATCACTTTATTGGGTAGTTGAAACAGTTGATTGGGCAATTTCTTGTGCTCAGTAGATAAAATGGAACACATGCTAGCAAAATAACTAAGAATTTGGTCTAATGGAACAGTGCAATTGGCCAAAAATAGGACCGAAGGTGGGCAAAATCGCTGATGCGTAAATATCACTGACACAACAAAATTCGCGAGTGTAATTTCGTCAATTTTTGATCAAATTTCGTACATTTTATTACCTTCAAAAAAAGATTCTCTACCATTTCATAAGAAAAAATAATGCAATTTTTTTTTTTTTAAATTCTTGGACCCTGTGGGGAATTTTCAGATTAGGGGTCTGGACCCTCAAAGGGTTAATACTCTGGCTGACTTCCACTGAGGTAGGGTGACCTGTCAGAAAAAGAGAACACTTTCATTGTCACTCATTCAGTGACTGTCTTGCCAAAAGGGTGTCAACAACATAGTTTGGATGACCCTCCAGATTGCAGCATCTCCACTCTTCCTTCATAGTGTAGGCACTGTATTTCCCACATCCATGATTCAGATCCAGCTAAACAGTTTTCCTGAATCCCTTCATAAATGTTACCTTGTTCACACTCCAGCTGCATGTCAAATCACGCAGTTGGTCCTCTAACATGTTCACACAAGCCTCTTGGATGTGTATGACCCTAGCTCTCAAAACCTCCTTTACTCCTTTCTTCCTTCCCAGCCTTACTTAGGATGACCCCCTACCCCTCCACTCCAAATTTATTCACCCTCTTAGTCATCCAATAAAGAGTTTTATGCAGAGAGTGAGGCTCAGGCTATGTAGGAGAGAAGAGGGCTTTTTCCAGTAAAGCTAGGACTTAGACAGGGATGTGTGATATCATCATGGTTGTTTAATGTATTTATTGAAGGTTGTAATACACAAATAACCCGCACATAGAAGAGAGAAGCTTACAACGACGTTTCGGTCCGACTTGGACCATTTACAAAGTCACACGGTGACTTTGTAAATGGTCCAGTGTGACTTTGTAAATGGTCCAAGTCAGACCGAAACGTCGTCGTAAGCTTCTCTCTTCTATGTGCAGGTTATTTGTGTATCGTTCCAGTCACGGTATTGTGCCTTTTTTTTGTTATTTAAGGTTGCAATAAAAGTTCTTGGGTGTTGGGAAGAAGTATAATGATTCTAATATGAAGTGCAAGTTATTACAGTTACTCTGCTGCTGCTGATGACACAAGTTCTTTTGGGTGAATCTGAAGAGAAGTTGCAAAGGCTTGTAGAGAAATTTGGGAGGGTATGCAAAAGAAGGAAATTAAAAGTGTATATGAAAAAAAGTAAAGTGATGATAGTAATGAAAAGATTAGGCAATAAAAGACTAGATATCAGATTGGAGGAATTAGATCAGGTGCGTGTTCTAGTTTTCAAGAAAGAATCTCGGTTCTCAATCAGCATTACAGTTTTGGATCCTTAGGCTGTGGCATGAACTATGAAATGTATGAATGGTTTCTGCATTTGTCTTTAGAGGTTTGAGAAGGGCATTGTGTTTAAATAGTTTGATTTAGAAGGGTCCACCTCTATTGCAAATTGTGGGACCCATAGTCTCAGAGCAGTGGATAAAAAGGCTTTGAGGAATAATATTTTGGAATTTTTTTCTTGCAGCCATTTGATTTTTTTAATTGTGATAACTGCCGAGAGCTTTGGCTTATCAATGCAAACATTGTATTTGTTTTTAATTTATTTCCACCTCTTGTGTTATTTTTTCATTAATCGTGGAACCCAAAAGGACTACAAATGATGCTGTAAGTCAGAAATAGGCAAAGCAAAAATATATGATCATTTTCACGATAACAATGAATTCATCTAGTGGAAATCGAGGCTGAGAATGTGGAATAAATTATAGGAATGTATGAAAATTTGCTGTGTCTTTCTTTATTACAAAAAATCAGTAAAAAAATTATAGTATGATGTCTGTACTACTTATTACTACAAACTTGTGTGAATCTTTGCAGGGTAACTAGAAGACATTGGTCTTCTTGCTAAAAAGTCACTTGGAATAGAATGACACTTTATTGTAGATGAAATTTTTTTAAATGATTTTACAAGGTTTGGTTAAGGGTTCCTACCATTATTTCCAAGCTAAGAACTGTTACTTACATACAGCAGCTCATTTTAAAGCCTTTTTATTATTATGAGAGAGACAAATAGGGGGCTTTATTAGGTCATCTATGGAGTAAGGTGAGAGAACCTAACGTAGGGTTAAAGTGAGTGGTGTTGTGATGTGAGCGTCACCTGTACTTGCTGAGTGTCCCCATGTAGCATCCCTTGCACATCACCACAACACATGACACCTTGACCTAATTCTTGGCTTCACCACTTACTTTACCTAAATATAGTGTCTTGTCAACTTGTATGAACTCATAATAAAGGTTTGTTGTGAACCAAGTGACTTTCTACCATACTCATCCCCAACAGTGGTGTTTCTAGCTGAAGTTCTCACCAAAACTCTTACATCATCCTGAGAGCTTCACCGTAGTAACTGCTCATGTCTTTTCATTAGCTCTTTTCTTATGGCATATTGAACACTGGGTGTAGTGTTTAGCCACACACTTCAGTTATTGCATGAATATTGAACACTGGGTGTAGTGTGTAGCCACACACTTCATCCATCAAGTGGTCACTGAGGTATACAGGCTGTTGACCATCAAGTCAAGGTGACCCTAAAAAGAAGAAACTAAAAGTTTTTCTTCTTTTCACATTTAGTAATTTATGTATATAGAAGAGGTTACCAGCCCCATACTTTCCAGCATTTTAGTTGCCTCTTACAACACAAATGTCTTACATAAGAAGGTTTCTTCTCACCCATGGAGATGTCTGATAATGATTTACACAATTTTTACCAATAACTCCTCTAAATATCATTGTTTATTATACAGTGGACCCCCGCATAACGATCACCTCCGAATGCGACCAATTATGTAAGTGTATTTATGTAAGTGCGTTTGTACGTGTATGTTTGGGGGGTCTGAAATGGACTAATCTACTTCACAATATTCCTTATGGGAACAAATTCGGTCAGTACTGGCACCTGAACATACTTCTGGAGTGAAAAAATATCGTTAACCGGGGGTCCACTGTATTATGATGATAAATAAGTCACCTGTGCAGCAAACCATTTATTTAAGAATTTATTTAATATTTTGGTGAATTTTGCATCTTTAAGGATGGGAAATATGGTATTTTGCTGTATTTCGTGATAATTTTCTGTATATACTTGATTGTAATGTTCAAAATTTTCAGGAAGTAAAGAAGAGTGGAACTTGGCGTCCTCAGTTAGACTTGTACAAGAAACAAGTTGCTGACTTACACCAGAAGTTGGCAGAGGAAGCCAAGAAGACTGATCGCCAGATTTTTGAGAATAAAAAACTGATGGAAAAAATGGAGGCCATTCTGCAAGAGAAAGATGTAAGATTATTTTATGTAAAATTAAAGTAATAACTTTCCTTCACTTACATTTTTAACATCTTAATTGTTATTATAATTTGTGTAAATCAGATTTTGCTATTTTCAGAAACTTTCAGAAAAAAATAATGGAAATTAAAGTTAGGTTTATGTACGAAATTAAACTTACTCTTATATATAAAACTTTATCATTCTATATTCTGAATTTGTGACACATGTTCTTACCTAACTCTGCAGTATAGCAATAGTAGTAGACTAATAGATAACTAGCTAAATAATACAAGAATAATAGGTACTGTAGTTATCTATTACTACCACTAGAGACTTTCAGTTTTAATGTTAATGGCAAGACACTGAGACCATAGCTGTAACTACTAGCAGGTAGTTACTGTAACTGCCAGTAGTTGTTACTGTAACTACCAGCAGGTTGTTACTGTAACTGCCAGTAGTTGTTACTGTAACTACCAGCAGGTTGTTACTGTAACTGCCAGTAGTTGTTACTGTAACTACCAGCAGGTTGTTACTGTAACTGCCAGTAGTTGTTACTGTAACTACCAGCAGGTTGTTACTGTAACTGCCAGTAGTTGTTACTGTAACTACCAGCAGGTTGTTACTGTAACTGCCAGTAGTTGTTACTGTAACTACCAGCAGGTTGTTACTGTAACTGCCAGTAGTTGTTACTGTAACTACCAGCAGGTTGTTACTGTAACTACCAGCAGGTTGTTACTGTAACTGCCAGTAGTTGTTACTGTAACTACCAGCAGGTTGTTACTGTAACTGCCAGTAGTTGTTACTGTAACTACCAGCAGTTGTTACTGTAACTGCCAGTAGTTGTTACTGTAACTACCAGCAGGTTGTTACTGTAACTACCAGCAGGTTGTTAACTGTAACTGCCAGTAGTTGTTACTGTAACTACCAGCAGGTTGTTACTGTAACTGCCAGTAGTTGTTACTGTAACTGCCAGTAGTTGTTACTGTAACTACCAGCAGGTTGTTACTGTAACTGCCAGTAGTTGTTACTGTAACTACCAGCAGGTTGTTACTGTAACTGCCAGTAGTTGTTACTGTAACTACTAGCAGGTTGTTACTGTAACTACTAGCAGTTGTTACTGTAATGCCAGTAGTTGTTACTGTAACTACCAGCAGGTTGTTACTGTAACTACCAGCAGGTTGTTACTGTAACTGCCAGTAGTTGTTACTGTAACTACCAGCAGGTTGTTACTGTAACTACCAGCAGGTTGTTACTGTAACTACCAGCAGGTTGTTACTGTACTAGCAGGTTGTTACTGTACTAGCAGGTTATTGTAACTACTAGCAGGTTGTTATTGTAACTACTAGCAGGTTGTTACTGTACTAGCAGGTTGTTATTGTAACTACTAGCAGGTTGTTACTGTAACTGCCAGTAGTTGTTACTGTAACTACCAGCAGGTTGTTACTGTAACTACCAGCAGGTTGTTACTTTAACTACTTGCAGGTTGTCCAGCTGGTTATCACTAACTACTTGCAGGTTATTATTGTAACTATCAGCAAGTTATCACTAACAGCAGGTTATCACTAACTACCTGCAGGTTATTATTGTAACTATCAGCAAGTTATCACTAACAGCAGGTTATCACCAACAACCAGCAGGTTATCACTAACTACCTGCAGGGTATTATTGTAACTACCAGCAGGTTATCACTAACTACCTGCAGGTTATTATTGTAACTACCAGCAGGTTATCACTAACTACCTGCAGGTTATTATTGTAACTACCAGCAGGTTATCACTAACTACCTGCAGGTTATTATTGTAACTACCAGCAGGTTATCACAAATAGTAATCACTCTTCAAGCTATGTATGTTGACACATTACTCCAATATGTTTCTTTCATTAATTAGTGTTGTATCACCTGCATCAATTAATATTGACAACATTACTGTGTTCAGCGGCTGACCAAGGAACGTGATGCACTTAAGGAGAACATCGAAGAGTTGAAATGTCATGTGTCAACACTGACCTCACCAGACACTGCCTCCCGCCCTCCCTCTGACCTCTCAGACGTGGAGTTACTGGAAGTGGTTCCTCATGAAATCAGGTACAGTTATTGCACAAGCTATTGCATGAGCCTGGCCCATGACTGCACTTCAAGAGTAGTAACACTCTCAAAACTCACCAAAGGTATATCAGTGATTAAAGCAAAAAAAAAAGCACGATAACATGACTTGAACAGTACACAACTCATACATAGGATAAGAAACTTATGACGACATTTCGGTGACTAGTCGGTGGTCCAAGTTGGACGGAAACATCGTTATAAGTGTCTTTGTCTTACATGTTGATTATTTATGTAGTGTACACAATGATTAGTTGACTGTGGGAGGAATTTTAAATGGCCATGGTGAATACAGGAAAGAGTAAGGTTATGAGGATAACAAAAAGATTAGGTGATGAAAGATTGAATATCAGATTGGAGGGAGAGAGTATGGAGGAGGTGAACGTATTCAGATATTTGGGAGTGGACGTGTCAGCGGATGGGTCTATGAAAGATGAGGTGAATCATAGAATTGATGAGGGAAAAAGAGTGAGTGGTGCACTTAGGAGTCTGTGGAGACAAAGAACTTTGTCCTTGGAGGCAAAGAGGGGAATGTATGAGAGTATAGTTTTACCAACGCTCTTATATGGGTGTGAAGCGTGGGTGATGAATGTTTGCAGCGAGGAGAAGGCTGGAGGCAGTGGAGATGTCATGTCTGAGGGCAATGTGTGGTGTGAATATAATGCAGAGAATTCGTAGTTTGGAAGTTAGGAGGAGGTGCGGGATTACCAAAACTGTTGTCCAGGGGGCTGAGGAAGGGTTGTTGAGGGTTGGTTCGGACATGTAGAGAGAATGGGAGCGAAACAGAATGACTTCAAGAGTGTATCAGTCTGTAGTGGAAGGAAGGCGGGGTAGGGGTCGGCCTAGGAAGGGTTGGAGGGAGGGGGGTAAAGGAGGTTTTGTGTGCGAGGGGCTTGGACTTCCAGCAGGCATGCGTGAGCGTGTTTGATAGGAGTGAATGGAACAAATGGTTTTTAATACTTGACGTGCCGTTGGAGTGTGAGCAAAGTAACATTTATGAAGGGATTCAGGGAAACCGGCAGGCCGGACTTGAGTCCTGGAGATGGGAAGTACAGTGCCTGCACTCTGAAGGAGGGGTGTTAATGTTGCAGTTTAAAAACTGTAGTGTAAAGCACCCTTCTGGCAAGACAGTGATGGAGTGAATGATGGTGAAAGTTTTTCTTTTTCGGGCCACCCTGCCTTGGTGGGAATCGGCCGGTGTGATAAAAAAAAAAAAAAAAAAAAAAAATGGTTTAGATCTTCGAGGTTTCATTGTAATGTTTATCATTACCGGAGTGCACGTAGGACTCTCGGGAGCATTGTAAGTGTGTGTGTTTCCACATTAACAGTTCCTTGGGATTGTTTACTGGTGCTGGTTATTTCGACTTACTGTGCTAGTATTTCTTTGGTTTACTCTTGCTAGAAATCTTTTTATTGTTTTGTCACTTTTCTGTGAATGTTCTTGTGTGTTAATCTTTATTATTTTTTTCCCAATAATGGTGCATGACCAACTAAGCTAAGAATTTTTATTATCTCTAAACTACCTACCTTCCTTCCTCCCTGGCTACCTTCCTTCCTCCCTGGCTACCTTCCTTCCTCCCTGGCTACCTTCCTTCCTCCCTGGCTACCTTCCTTCCTCCCTGGCTACCTTCCTTCCTCCCTGGTACCTTCCTTCCTCCCTGGCTACCTTCCTTCTCCCTGGCTACCATTCCTCCTCCCTGGCTACCTTCCTTCTCCTGGCTACCTTCTTCCTCCTGGCTACCTTCCTTCTCCCTGGTACCTTCCTCCTCCCTGGCTACCTTCCTTCCTCCCTGGCTACCTTCCTTCCACCCTGCTACCTTCCTTCTCCCTGCCTACCTTCCTCCTCCCTGCTACCTTCCTTCTCCCTGGCTACCTTCCTTCCTCCTGGCTACCTTCTTCCTCCCTGGCTACCTTCCTTCCTCCCTGGCTACCTTCTTCCTTCCTCCCTGGCTACCTTCCTTCCTCCTGGCTACCTTCCTTCCTCCCTGCTACCTTCCTTCCTCCCTGGCTACCTTCCTTCCTCCCTGGCTACCTTCCTTCCTCCCTGGCTACCTTCCTTCCTCCCTGGCTACCTTCCTTCCTCCCTGGCTACCTTCCTTCCTCCCTGGCTACCTTCCTTCCTCCCTGCTACCTTCCTTCCTCCCTGGCTACCTTCCTTCCTCCCTGGCTACCTTCCTTCCTCCCTGGCTACCTTCCTTCCTCCCTGGCTACCTTCCTTCCTCCCTGGCTACCTTCCTTCCTCCCTGGCTACCTTCCTTCCTCCCTGGCTACCTTCCTTCCTCCCTGGCTACCTTCCTTCCTCCCTGGCTACCTTCCTTCCTCCCTGGCTACCTTACTTCCTCCCTGGCTACCTTCCTTCCTCCCTGCCTACCTTCCTTCCTCCCTGCCTACCTTCCTTCCTCCCTGGCTACCTTCCTTCCTCCCTGGCTACCTTCCTTCCTCCCTGGCTACCTTCCTTCCTCCCTGCTACCTTCCTTCCTCCCTGGCCTACCTTCCTTCCTCCCTGGCTACCTTCCTTCCTCCCTGGCTACCTTCCTTCCTCCCTGGCTACCTTCCTTCCTCCCTGGCTACCTTCCTTCCTCCCTGGCTACCTTCCTTCCTCCCTGGCTACCTACCTTCCTCCCTGGCTACCTTCCTTCCTCCCTGGCTATCTTCCTTCCTCCCTGGCTATCTTACTTCCTCCCTGGGTATCTCTCCTTCCTCCCTGGCTACCTTCCTTCCTCCCTGCCTACCGTCCTTCCTCCCTGTCTACCGTCCTTCCTCCCTGGCTAACTTCCTTCCTCCCTGCCTACCTTCCTTCCTCCCTGCCTACCTTCCTTCCTCCCTGCCTACCTTCCTTCCTCCCTGGCTACCTTCCTTCCTTCCTTCCTTCCTGGCTACCTTCCTTCCTTCCTGGCTACCTTCCTTCCTTCCTGGCTACCTTCCTTCCTCCCTGGCTACCTTCCTTCCTCCCTGGCTACCTTCCTTCCTCCCTGGCTATCTTCCTTCCTCCCTGGCTACCTTCCTTCCTCCCTGGCTACCCTCCTTCCTTCCTTCCTCCCTGGCTACCTTCCTTCCTTCCCCTGGCTACCTTCCTTCCTTCCTTCCTCCCTGGCTACCTTCCTTCCTTCCTCCTCCCCTGGCTACCTCCTTCCTTCCTTCCCCTCCCTGGCTACCTTCCTTCCTTCCTCCCTCCCTGGCTACCTTCCTTCCTTCCTCCCTCCCTGGCTACCTTCCTTCCTTCCTCCCTCCCTGGCTATCCTTCCTGTCCTCCTCCCTCCTGGCTACCTTCCTTCCTTCCTCCCTTCCCTAGCTACCTTCCTTCCTTCCTACCCCTCCCTGGCTACCTCCTTCCTTCCTCCCTCCCTGCTACCTTCCTTCCTTCCTCCCTCCCTGGCTACCTTCCTTCCTTCCTTACTCCTCCCCCCTGGCTACTTCCTTCCTTCCTTCCTCCCTCCCTGGCTACCTTCCTTCCTTCCTTCCTGCCTACCTTCCTTCCTCCCTGCCTACCTTCCTTCCTCCCTGCCTACCTTCCTTCCTCCCCTGCCTATCCTTCCTTCCTCCCTGGCTACTTTCCTTCCTTCCTGGCTACCTTCCTTCCTTCCTGGCTACCTTCCTTCCTTCCTTCCTGGCTACCTTCCTTCCACCCTGGCTACCTTCCTCCTCCCTGGCTACCTTCCTTCCTCCCTGGCTACCTTCCTTCCTTCCTCCCTGGCTACCTTCCTTCCTTCCTCCCTGGCTACCTTCCTTCCTTCCTCCCTGGCTACCTTCCTTCCTTCCTCCCTGGCTACCTTCCTTCCTTCCTCCCTGGCTACCTTCCTTCCTTCTCCCTGGCTACCTTCCTTCCTCCTGGCTACCTTCCTTCCTTTCTGGCTACCTTCCTTCCTTTCTGGCTACCTTCCTTCCTTTCTGGCTACCTTCCTTCCTTCCTGGCTACCTTCCTTCCTTCCCAGCTACCTTCCTTCCTTCCTTCCTTCCCAGTACCTCCTTCCTTCCTTCCCAGCTACATTCCTTCCTTCCTGGCTACCTTCCTTCCTTCCTGGCTACCTTCCTTCCTTCCTGGCTACCTTCCTTCCTTCCCAGCTACCTTCCTTCCTTCCTGGCTACCTTCCTTCCTTCCCAGCTACCTTCCTTCCTTCCTTCCTTCCCAGCTACCTTCCTTCCTTCCTTCCTTCCCAGCTACCTTCCTTCCTTCCTGGCTACCTTCCTTCCTTTCTTCCTGGCTACCTTCCTTCCTTTCTTCCTGGCTACCTTCCTTCCTTTCTTCCTGGCTACCTTCCTTCCTGTCCTTCCTGGCTACCTTCCTTCCTTCCTTCCTTCCTGGCTACCTTCCTTCCTTCCTTCCTTCCTGCGCTACCTTCCTTCCTTCCTTCCTGCTGCTACCTTCCTTCCTTCCTGGCTACCTTCCTTCCTTCCTGGCTACCTTCCTTCCTTCCTTCCTGGCTACCTTCCTTCCTTCCTTCCTGCTACCTTCCTTCCTTCCTTCCTGGCTACCTTCCTTCCTTCCTTCCTGGCTACCTTCCTTCCTTCCTTCCTGGCTACCTTCCTTCCTTCCTTCCTGGCTACCTTCCTTCCTTCCTTCCTGGCTACCTTCCTTCCTTCCTTCCTGGCTACCTTCCTTCCTTCCTGGCTACCTTCCTTCCTTCCTTCCTGGCTACCTTCCTTCCTTCCTTCCTGGCTACCTTCCTTCCTGGCTACCTTCCTTCCTTCTTCCTGGCTACCTCCTTTCTTTCTTCCTGGCTACCTTCCTCCTTTCTTCCTGGCTACCTTCCTTTCTTCTTCCTGGCTACCTTCCTTCCTTTCTTCCTGGCTACCTTCCTTCCTTTCTTCCTGGCTACCTTCCTTTCCTTTCTCTCCTGGCTACCTTCCTTCCTTTCTTCCTGGCTACCTTCCTTCCTTTCTTCCTGGCTACCTTCCTTTCTTCCTGGCTACCTTCCTTCTTTCTTCCTGGCTACCTTCCTTCCTGGCTACCTTCCTTCCTTCCTTTCTGGCTACCTTCCTTC